GTATGCATGCATGTATGTATGTATGTATGTATGCATGCATGCATGCATGGATGGATGGATGGATGGATGGATGGATGGATGGATGGATGGATGGATGTATGTATTTGCAGGAACATGTATGCACGTATGTTATGAGAGGGAGAGACAGAGAGAGATGCGTCTGACCATTGCCTGTTTGTGTAATTCAATATTCAGCTTGTCTGTCACAATCCTCAACCATACGAACGGCTGCTTTAAGCATGACTTCAACGAACTCTACATAAACTCGCTGCAGAGCACGCCTGCCCAGGAGCACTTTTCCCCATCACGTTTCAGAAGTCGACTGTACGGTTGAGCCAATCAGTAGATTTCTCTTCCAAACCAGGCCCGAACCGAGTGTATGCGTCATTTGGGCCACCTTCAGGAAAAGACTTTTAGACAGTTCCCCACGTGCTTTATTTGACAGATATGGATATGCTACTGCTGTAGACTCTGCATTGCCTCTTAGTTTTTTATGTATCATATTGAGACTTACAGGGCGTGTTTTGCATCTTCAGACTTCGAGGCGTCAACGCCGACGGCTTGGGTGCATCGAAGACTCTCTTTTGAAATCAGACTGCCCATCCCCTCGTTGCTTCTTTGTTTTATGTTTGGCCTCATCCTGGGCAAGGAGCGAGGTGCTGTGCTTCTCGCTGCGGAGAAGCTGATACCGGTAGCCTGGCTCGTGTTCGATTCAAGAAAAACTACTACATGGATTTTGCCATCGTGGGTTCGGCAGCGTCCAGCACGAGAACCCCACCTTCCTTTTTGGAGCAGTGCTCTAGCTCCTAGCATTTGGGGTCAGCCGAGTCTTCGCAGCAGGAATTGTGGTCTGGCTCAGGCTGAAAGCGCTTTGCATCATGTGAAGAATCCAACCATCATGCTTAGCAAAAGTGAGAAGACTATCGCGAAGGAGGGCGTCCAGGGCCGTACCTGTGTGGTAGGTCCATAGGCAACGAGTCTAGCGAAGCGGGCAAGTCTGCCGATGCTACAGAAGACAGAAGGTTCAGGTTGCAGGATTCAGGACGCCCCGTTCACACCGAAGGCCTCTCAAGATGCCGTAAGAAATCGCGGAGCCCGAGCAACACTGCCCGGTAGCAACGGCTCTACGACCACAGTTCTCAAACCCTGGGGACCCACTTTGAACCCCGAAGTCAAATGCTCTGAAACCAAGACATCCAGGCCCTTGTGGAGGACAATACTGTGTTGGAGGGCAACTTGCGCGACTTCCTCGGTTCTCGAGGGTGCGGGTTGAGGATCATGGATGGCTTTGGGCTGCGTTGCCTCTCTTTGCAGGTTTTTCAACACATCGAACAGGATTACACTTGACCGGAAACACATTTGCAAAGAGCAGCGGCTGTTGTTTCACTATCTGACATGGCGTCCGTGGTTTGTTTTGATGCCGTGATCTTGGACTGCTGCATTCTCGAGAAAGCAGAGCTCCAACGGGAATCCTTTCAAGATTCAAGTCCCTGGCTGTCGGCTACGAATCTAAATGTTCTTGAGACTGCGTATCTCGAGGTGACTACCAACTCGCCTTGGGCAGCGCTGTGAAAGAGCTGTACCGCAAGATTCCCAGATGGCGGCAGCATGCCGACAAACCTGCATAAGAGAGAATACACCACCCACGATGCCAAACACGTGCCCCAAGAAGGGAGACAAACGTGGACAACCTACAGCACCAAACGTCGACATTCCTTTCACATTAACAGGAACCCTACAGTGGACTGCTTGGGGAATTCGAATTAGCTATCAAAACCTAAGCGCCTTGTCCGGTAATGAGCCACCCTATGCCCTAGACGCGACATCCAACCAGCCCCACACACTCCTGATGTCTGGTTTTCAGAAACTCGCATTCATTTCAGGAATTTGGACATTCTCGGAGGATTGCTGGAAGTGCTGCCGAATCCACTTTATCTGAGACTTTTGCTCTGACACACTAGGCGTTCGCGGCGAGGTGGCAGAGTGCCACTCTCTGCCCGGCACCCAGTTTCTGGCGGGGATGGGGTGCGAGGTTGAGGATTCAGACTTCGTAGGGCGAGGCTCAGGAGAGAGTCTCGAGGAGGACTTTGTCGAATCTGCCAGGCTGCTTGCAGGGTCTGAAGTGTTCATGCTGCAGAGTTGTTTGTCCATGACACCCAGCTCAACAGCGCAGTTACATGTAGCCCTTAGAGCCCGGGCTTTAGTGCAGCGAGGAGCTCGCTGCCTGAAATGCCTTCAGTCTACATTCAGAAGCGATTAGCTCCGGGCCCTTCTGGAACTGCGAAGATTTGCGGACTGAGACGCCAGCAGGCTACAAGAGGCATCCTCCTACAAGCTGCTGCTTCGGCAGGAGCACCAGGCTTTTGCTGAACTGCTTGGTCGTAGTCAAGATAAGTCGGAGGAGGATGCCTTTGCATGCAAGAGGAAAGTCATGGCTCAACTTGGGATCTTCTGCCTGGAAGCTTTCTGACTCTCAGATCACAATACCCCCAACTTGGAACCCGAAAGCTCTTCCGGAAGATGAACTTGGACTCAACTCGTCGGAGTATCTGAGGCCGAAACCACTCAGAGACATGGGGCACATGCTTATGCAACCGGCAAACTCGTTGCATTGTTCAGGGTTTGCGGCATTGTTTCCGGGAGGCGAGGTGTGGGGCTTGAATCTTCAGCCCCCAACCCGCCCTTACGCCTCCTGGAGTATACGACTCATGGGCTCTCCTGAAGTCGCACGCTTTCTGGAGCCGGTATATGTCCTTCAGCTCGACCTTTGCTCACGGGTATGCGAGGCCCAGCAGCAACTGCTGGAGGAGCAGCTCCGGTTGGATGAGAGGCCGCGCCCCGCGCCTGCCAGCCTCTCACGCCTTAAGGAACACCCTTTCACATGAGTGGGAAAGCCCGGAAGGCACGACCAACTCCTCTCTTTGCTCCAAGCGGCCTCCAGCGCGGAGGCCTCCGCAGTCTTGTGCAAAGGGCGCATCGGTTTTGCTTGTGGACGGGGACGTTGTTAGAAATGTTGGCGCTTGACAACAAAGGATCTTCTCCGAAGGTTGAGAGCTGTGGCCCCACATCCCCGGCTCGACAACTCGTGGACTCGTAGACCCCTGAGCACCTCGTATCACTGCGAAGAAACATCCACAGTCAGGGGGAAGGGGCAAAGCAAATGAGCACAGAAGTAGAACAGTCATGGGCATGGCACGTGTTCTTCACTGTCAGCTGCTGTTACTGGATGCGAGTGCGTGTCTCCATACCTTCTTGACCTCACCGGGAGGCACATCTGTAGCGGCATGATTCTGGTGCAAGAGAATGGCTAGCGACATCAGCGAGTCCTTTGGTGCGTTGTTTAGACATCTGCACCTGCAGTTCATATCGCCTCAAAGCCCACAGTGTTGTGATCCTGAGTTGTCCACAGGTTTGGTTACTTGATCTCACCTGGAGGGTCCGAGTGTGAGTGCCGGAAAGCCTAAACCCCCAAAACCTGAACCTTGCAGCGGAAAGTAAGTGGTCAATTCAAAACCTCTGCGAATCTGAGCCCTTGAGGTGTGTGGGGGGGGGGGGGGCCTACTCTGCCCGGCTGGTGGGATCGGGCTGAACGGACAGCGGTCTCAAAACTCCACTTCTGAACCGCCTCGAACTACTTCCCTCGAGCCGCTAAGGTCTTTTGAACAAGTGAGCCACAGCCAACCAGCGTCGCCGGATCGAAACCTGAGCTGTCCGCAAAAGAAGATTAAGCCGTGACAGAAGTATGGTGAACAAGAAATCCCACGTGCGACTGGACCAGTTGAATAGAGAAAGCTGAGGGACAATCCTGGCTACGGGCTTGTCTGATCGACGTGAACAGAGGAAACAATGTGGCCAACTATGAGGCTACCACCCACATCTCGCGAGGGAGATCAGGCAGGTTGTGGCGAGGTGGGGAGAGAGAGAGAGAGAGAGAGAGAGAGAGAGAAGCGAGCGACTCGATTTAGCATTTACAGCAGCACCAACCACCCCGGATGGCCGTCAGAGAACCTTACAGGATGACGAACGAGGGGAGTCTTTGCTGGTGGCTTTGGCCCGCGAGAACAGCTGCCTGGTTGCATCTAATCTTCGTGGAGCACGGAATCAAGGCCAAAAGCAGAAGCAAAAAACTGCCATCGAGGGTTGTGTCGGGGAGCTTGGCAATGGCGATGCCCCTAAACGATTGTGTGGTCGATACAACTGACCGGTTCCCCCTGCATCGGACGAATTGTTTGTTAACCAGAACATGTCGCCGTCCCACCAAGAATGACGACTAAAAAGAAAGTCAGAAGGAATCTCGACATGTGACCTCTCGCTTAGTTCGTCACGTACGACATTGCCTTGCAGCTTAAATTCAGCAGTGAGGATCAAGGCGGAAAAGCACAACAAGTGTCTTTGGATTGACCGACTGATCTTGTCGCAAAAATAGTTCTCAAGCTCATGCACACTTTGGCAGACAACGCGCCTGCCTCGCAATCTAGTGCTGGTTTGGAAGATATAATCAAGATGTTTCTCACAACAGATGCACATTGGATGGGCGCAGAAGCCAGGATCTTGCCGGAAGCTTCCTGTGAACTGGGAGTTTATAGGATGAACGACCATTTACGTGGACCGCCGGAGTCTACCGCTACCCGGCATGAAGTGTCTATGATGCTCCGCATATAAGGACTTAAGCATAGTTCGACACTATGTTCATGAATTTGTATCGAGCATGGCCAACAACGAATCTTTTCCAGGTTTCCTACGAGCCCGGCTTTTCCCTGGCGAGAGCGATACGCTGCCCTCGCCACGACGAGCGTTGCTTAGCTGTTTTCAGGACTGTCGAGGGCGCGGGCAACGGAACGGTCACAGCGGTTTCGGTTTGGTGGGCAAATCGCGATGCGTTCTGCCCCAGGATGTCACTTTAAAAACCCTCCAATACCTAGCACCAACCATTGGGACTCCTCAGCCAGTTTTGGAGCTACTCCCGAGTCAAAGTTGAAATGAAGAAGTGGGCAGCAGACACAGACACGGGTCGAACGTTGTGCTGGACCATAAATTCAACATTTGGGGCTGCGCGACGATGGCTCCAGCTGTCTTCGTGCGTGCCTGCATGCATGCGCGCGCGCGCGCGTGCGTGTCCGTCTGTCCGTGTGTCTCGCTGTGTGTCCTCCTTTAGTCTCTGTCTCCGTGTTCGTGTCTCTGTGTGTGTGTGTTGTGTGTGTGTGTGTGTGTGTCTGTGTCTCTGTGTCTGTGTGTGTGTGCGTGTGTGTATGTGTTTGTATGTTTGTGCGTGTGTGTTTGTGTTTATGTTTGCGTGTTTGTTCTTGTTTTTGGTTCTAACGAAATGAAGTCCGGCCAGGGAGACGCAAGCAGGCGGATACACAGACCAAGTCGAGGGGGCTGATCAGCTGTTGCACTATTCCGAAGTTCCCTGTAGTGGTTTCTGCATCAGCTCAGTTTTGACAAACACAGAATTTTACCGTTAGTGAGGCATGTCCACAGCAACCCTGTCTGCAACGGACGCGGAACGTGCGATGCAATACGAAGGGAGGAAGAGTAAAAGCCGTTGAGGCTGAGCTCCAGCAGGGCCAGCCGATCCTCTGAGGTGCTGCTTGGAAAGGGCCTACGGGTAGGGGGTGAGCTGTTTCGACCATGAGGCAACCTTTGGAGATAATGGCAGATGTAACCTGTAGTCCAAGGTGGCTGGTATGACGACAGCTCTTTTGGGTTGTCCTATTATGAGTGTGTGTGTGTGTGCCTAGATACCGATTCGTTTGATCGCCCACGACCCCGAGGAATTGCGATGCTAGACCAGGTGGATCTCAGACAGCGCAGAGGCATATTCGCCTGTAAACCAGCTGTCACTGAAGTCTCAGAGGATCCGCGGCCTTCTTCCACGGCTTCCAGTCCCCAGGGCAGCCCCCTGGACTTCAACTTCTCGCCGCTGAATGCTTCCTGGCCTTGGAAATATGAAGGCTCTCTGGTTTTGTCGTTGGCATGCTGTTTAGAGCTTTGGAGATCATGCAGCCTTGAAAATCTTGTTTACATGGCGCGAGTTTGAGACATTTTAGGCTTTTTGTGGGCTTCGTGTTCTATGAGGACCTCGCAGCCTAGACTTTCACCGTTGGGTTGCTGCAAAGAAATGGCATTCGGTTTGGGGTGTCAGATTCGATTCGTCGGTTTTGTGGAATATGTGGCAATAAATCAGTATTTGTGGTTGCAGGCATGGGCATCATGGATTTCTGAGAGTTCCCGAAAGCATCGCGAAGGGTTCTTCCGTGCGGAGCCCCGCAGAGAAAATACATAGAGAATACATGGGGTCAAGTACACTTGACTTTACGAACACTTGACTTTATGACATTTGACTTTACCACTTTACCACAC